ACACTTTAGATTTCTTTATAAACATGATAAGTGTTGATGTATACTTTGTATTCTATATTTTTCGTATTTATGTTTCTGGTCATTTGATCTGAGATTGTTATTAGTTATCCAAGAAGTATTTAGTCTCTTGGTTGTGATCAGTTTGTTTTTGGATGGACTAGGTTTGTTACAGGGATTTAATTTTTTGGAGGAAAACTTGGACACACGTGTGAATATCTTATTATTGCACTCTCTCTTGACATTCATTGGTGTTATTGACACAAAAATATTCATTGATACCTCGTCATGGAGTCTGTATTCGAGATCATAATGGGAACTTCCTTGTAATAATGTTGGTAGAATTACCGACATATTAGGTAAAAGGACACAAGTGCAACTAATATGGCATTTTGTGGCAACGTTTCGCTCTCCAGGAGATTTATCAAGCCTTGATTTTACAAACTTCCTTATTAAATCCATGTATTAACTTTCAAGACATCTTATTTTGGCTATCTGAACTTTGTTCTGGGCTCAAGCTTCCACCTCGCCTGTATCTCTTTCTACTCTGGCCGTGAAATTTTATTAGTTTCGTCCAGAAGGGCCTATAATAGAGGTTAAATTGATGTACTTTGATCAGATATGTACAGAGCCTTGAAGTTCCTGCTGAGTAAAACGTAGTCTAGAAAGTATTCAGAACGTTGTATGTGTCTATTTAGAGGATTATTATATTATAATTATGGGGAGCGCTAAACACTTAGGATTATACAGCGCATGTGGGGGGGGGAGGGAAGATATTCAGGCTCAATTCAGGGAACTAGAGCACAGATCCAATTCCCCAGGTCAAGAGCCCCTCACCAGCATTAAGGAACTTCCCTTCAGGGGGAATTTAGTTAGAGGAACTTCCTGTTACACTGATATCGTAGGAAGTAGAGCAGAAGGAAGACTTCCTAAATACTCTGAATTTTAAAGCTTTGTAGTTTCGTGTGGCTTAGTGCTTCTTTTTTATAATAATAATAATAATATAATAATAATAATAATAATGTTTCGTGTAGAGAACATCTGAGAGATGATGGGATCATTCTCTTAGTCCATCTCCTTTCAGTTCACTCTCTTCTTGCTTGTAAGTTGCATTCAGGAAGGGATGTTAACATATCTAAGGCGAGTGATGCTGGAAAGATTGCCAGTGAAATGCTTGGCTTTGAAACTCTGTCTACATGAAGGGGAAACCCCATGGCCATGCCGTATTGTTCAAAAAAATTATCAGTACTAAGTGGTTTTGCTTTATAATTTTGCGTAGATAAAGCATTTTGGGCTCAAATTTCAGAGGTTTTTGTTGTATGATGAACTTAATACGATGCAATCATATGCACTGATGCATATGATCCAATTCCCTAGATCAAGAGCCCCTCACCAGCACCAAGGAACCTTCCTTGAGAAGGGTTGAAGGAAGAGTGGTGGCACAAACAGTCCTCCGCCATCATCACTACTCTTGAAGAAAGTATTGATCTCAAGAAAACGAGAAATATTTTGCATTGTAACAAGAGGTCAGAAGGCGGTTAATGTTACATTTTTAAACAAGTGTTTGCTCCGCCCCCTCAGAACAAAGGCTTATGCCGCTCTGCTGGAAAAACTTTTCTTGCTCCCTCGAGGTAATAACTAGTTATGTCACAGAGGTAAATACCAGACAGCTGAACTCTTACCCTCAAGTATATCCAAGAGTCAATTTGTAATGGTGGTGAGGGAGGGATATACGCAGTGGTGTTCTTATACCTGTGATATATCTCTGACCAGTTTAATTTATCTACTCAAGTAGCGGGACCTGGGGCCAGGCTTCCCTGTTGATTTGTCAGCTTCAATTAGGCTGTTGCTGCCTACTGGCCCCCACAGTCTGGTTAATCTGGCACTTGTCGATTTATTTTTTTTTTTTTTTTTTTTTTTGAGGGGGGAGGAATACTAAATATATAGAGGTCTTAGTGCCTAGGGAATGGGAGGCACTTTTTGCATCGAAGGAAGAGAAGATATGTACTTCCTTGGATTGATAGTGATTCCATTTCCTCTTAAATTCTACTCTTATTCTGGCATGTTTCTGGTATCTGCTGGTACCAGGTTAAGTCTTGGATCAGATGTTGCGTGTTCTTAGTGCCTGTGGTGCCCCCTACATTTCATTGGGTCTGTTTTACTCTCCTGTACCTCACAAAATGTTATGATGCATAGATTTAGAACTAGGCACTCAAGTATCTTCCATGTATGTACAAAGTATCTTAGCTCCAGAGCACCATCAAAGTAGTTTCATGAGTTTCCAGAAATCTAAATGCTCGTCAGTGTATTCCTACCCTGAACAGGAACGTCGACAATAAATGTAACCTAAAAGAAGAAGTTACTTGAAGTCACCATAATTATTATTATTATAATCAAAAAGAAGCGCTAAGCCACAAGGGCTATACAGCGCTGCAATAGTCACCATAAGTGTTCTTGAGTTTAGATCTTATCGTCCACTCTATTTTTCTAACGTTCGTGAGGTTTGGCTTATGTTCTCTGATAAGTCGTTTCCCGTCAAGGAAGGTTCCTTGATGCTGGTCATGGGTTCTTGATCTATGGTATTGGATCTGTGCTCCAGTTCCCTGAATTAAACCTGAATACCTTCCACATCCCCCCCACAGGCATTGTATAATCCTATGGGTTTAGTGCTTCCCCCTTGATTATAATAATAATGATAAGTCTTTTAAATGTTACTTTAGTTCTGAAATGTCCACATTAGTGAACCACCGTAAAGTGAAGAGCCGTAAAGCTGTCCCCTCCTCTATATGGTAAGTCTTCTTTAATCTCTATTTTAAGGAAAAAAGATTCTTGTCTGCTGGCGAAAAGATTACTATGCAACCTTAATGACTCGTGCAATCAATAGGTTTCAAACCTCCAATAACCAAAACACTGTAAAATTCACTCTCTAAGCTTGCTGGTTATATCATATCCAGAAGTCATCCTTCATAACTTCCATCATATTCGGTAGATTTCACACCATATTGCATCACATAATCAGGTCATTCTCAAATTTAAAACAAGCATGCAAAAACGAAAATTGTGATAAGTATTTTAGATATTCTTACATTCACGTGACAATCATTGGAAAGCACTGACATGAGGTTATTACATTTAAGAAGTGTAGGATTGTTATAATTCCTTGGAACACCAGTTTCAGTTGTATGAAAGCCTGTTGAATGCAGTTTTCACTATAATAAGAAAAAGAATTTTTGACTTCCATATAGGTAGCCGTGTAACACGAATCAGAAGAGATTCAGTTCTATTTTGTTCGGGTGGAAACTCTGAAGAATGAGTTGAAATAATGACTGAATAAGAATTATTTCACTTGGCAAGCACTATACCCATTAGGGCCATACAGTGCCTTAGGAATGGGAGAAAATCATATTTAATTCATAGGGGAAAAGGGAAGATATCTCAAATTACTTGAATCTAGAGCCCTCATCACTTCAAGGCAACTCCCTTGAGTGTTTAACACTTCATTTGATTATATCATCCAGTATCCAATTCTTTGAATTAAGCATGAATGCCTTCCATTCCCCCAGACACTGTATCACCCTTAAGGATCTAGTACTCCATGATAATTCCATACATTAAGAGCCCCTCCTTTGAACTTGGTTGGTTGTGCGCTCGGGTCACACATTCAGGTCCGTAGTTTGATCCCCAGTATGGGTGGATACACTGGGGGCGTTTCCTTAAGACACCTGCTGTCCCTATTCACCTAGCAGAAAATAGGTACCTGGGTGTGGGTCGCTTCCTGGGGACAAAATTAACCTAATTTGCCCGAAATGCTCTGCATAACAAGGGATTTTCTATATTGTATGTCATTCACATCAGCTAGGACTGTATAATGTTGTATTATGTACTTGTAGAAATAAAATATTATGGCATTTTAAAACCCGTTAGTGATAAAGATAAAGATGTCACATCATCTAATTGTTGAGTAACAGCATTATTACCATAATCAAAGGGAAGTGGTAAACCCGTAGGATTACACAGCGCCTGTAGGAAGGGGGGGGGTTATGGAAGGTATTCAGGTTTAATTCAGGAAACTGGAACACAGATCCAGTTACCTAGATCAAGAGTCCTTCATCAATATCAGGGAACCTTCCTAGAGGGGAGTAAAACGCAGCAGGTAGTCGAGTTCTAACAGTATCATACAGGTATGTACCAGAGTTGTTCATATGTACTGGCCTGTTCTTTTTTATTTGTGATGTTGGAAGTAGATGCTTCAATAGTAGTCTGTTCCTGTTGGACTCTGGATCATTTCTGCTATCCAACACGAATAGGTACCAATATAGTAAAGAATCCTTAATAGCTACTTTCAGTGTCATAGAGAACTGGCAAATACATCACCTCTTCTACTCTTGCACATGTATTATTGCACGATGGCTCGGTTACGGAGTTTGAATCTCCTTTGGTACGGCTGGAAAACATTAGGGCCGTGTTTCCATAATACACCTACTGTCTCTGTTCACCCATCAGTGTAAAATGGGTACCTGGGTGTTAGTCAACTGGTGTGGGTCGCATCCTGGGACAAAACTGACCTAATTTGCCCGAAATGCTCCATAATGAGCGGCTTACTATATAGTGTATGTCATTGATGTCAGCTAGGGCTGTATACCATGTACATGTACTAGTAGTAAATAAAGATATTATTATCAGACGACATGATCACCAATGACATGATTTCTCCTCTTCACTGCTTTTCATTCATCATTTGGATTGACACAAAGGTCCCAACCTTGTAGTTAGCATTAACGTACCTTTTGCTATCATATATGAGTTTATGCAATGACTGACATTCGAACTTAATTTTATCGAGTTCGTTGTACATTCCAAGGTTTACTGATACCTTCTATATCCAAGGGGCAAAATGTTGTGTAATATTACTTAGTTTATGGTATGACCCTTGTGGGTGTAGTGCTTAGTTTTGATTGTAATAATAATTACTTTTTCAAAAAGGAAAAATTAAAATATTCAAGTTATAGTAACTTTTTATTCTTTTATGAAAATTCTTGCATCGGAATAATGTTATTAAGACAGTATGAAACACTTGTGTTTTCCTTTGTATATTTAATCTACAGTAGTTAATGCATAATGATAATGTCAGAATTACTGAAGTGCTCTACTGAAATAAGGAACACTTAAAAATAAAAATATAGTTGCAGATAGTAACAATGAAAAAGTATAAGAAATTTTAACAGTACCTATTCCATGAGAAGTTTACTAAACTTAGTGATACTATAAATTATGCAATATTTGCCAAATAATCTTGAACTTCTGCAGGAGTAAGTCTACGGAAACCCTTTGCATTGCAGATACCAATCTCTATGTTGTCGCTGCTCATCTGACCTTCGAAGCTCTCCTTAAGGGTCAATATAGCAGTGTGTACAGCATCGTCCAGCTCAAGGTCTTCATTGTATCTAGAAAAAGAAGAATTATTGAATGCATCACATTTCTGACAATGACTTAAGGCAAATAACAATAAATGAATACAGAATATATTTCTACAAAGTACAGTAGGGCCACACTTTACGGCGTTCTTGAAATATGGCGTGCCCCACCTCTCTACTATGTCTGGAAACTTTCCAAAATTTCAAATGTTTAAAATTATTGCATATTTTATATGTACTCTGATTATACTTAAGTGTACCTAAATATACTTACTGTGCTGGTGTGCAGGGACACATTAAAATCACTAAGAGTCTCTCTACTCTTGATGCCATATTAATAATAATAGTCTTTGGGCACATTAAATGTTGTATATTACATTAATACAGACATTTCCATTAATCCATCTATATTTTTTTTCAAAATTATTTAAGAAACACACTACAAAACATATAAACATGATAAATACACCCCACAGTAAAATAAATTAACATAAATTAACACAACATATTAAACCCTTGTCAGTTTGGATTCTGAAATAATAAAAGCACAAACGATGCTATCATACACATGCTAGAACTAATATATACCACACTCAAAAAGAAAGAAGTCCCGCTGGGCATTTTCATTGATTTACGTAAAGCTTTTGATACAGTCGACCATGAACTGCTGTACTCAAAATTAACACACTATGGTATCAGAGGCCACTCCCTCAACTACCTAAAGTCATACCTTAGTAGCAGAATTCAATATGTGTACGCAAATGGTGCAAACTCTTCCACCCAACCAATCACAGTAGGAGTCCCACAAGGAAGTGTCCTTGGACCACTCCTCTTTCCCATCTACATCAATGTTCTACCGAATGCATCACAGTTACTCAAACCCATATTATTTGCAGATGACATTACATACGTCTTCTTCCACCCAAACCCAGTCATACTCGCCAACACTGTCAATGCCGAATTGCAGAAAATATCTGCGTGGATGATGACCAATAAGCTTACCCTGAATGCTGATAAAACCTATTTCATTCAATTTGGAAACAAAGCTGCAAATGTTCCACTTAACATAATGCTAAATGGATCATCAGTCACAAGACTTACAGAGGAAAAATTCCTAAGTATCCACCTGGACAGTAGCCTTATGTTCCAGACACACACATTTGTGCATGGGGATCAACAACATTAAATCACCTAAGACCTTTAATAACCCAGCAAAAGGCAGCAGTCAGAATAACAAATTCCCACTCCCGCCAGCATACTGCACCAATTTTCAAAAGTCTAAATCTGTTCACCATTAAGAACATCCATACTTATTCATGTGCCTATTACATACACAGAACAATACACGCAAATATAAACCCTCCACTCAAACTTCTCACCAGCCTTAACAGGACACATGACCATAACACATGACACAATCTCTTTTTGATGTACCTCGTGTCTATATCACGCTGTGTAAAAACTCCATGCACATAATGGGCCCCAAAATATGGAATTCATTACCAGAAGATACTAAAGTAACTTGGTCTGAAAATCACTTTAAGACTCTTCTCAAAAGCCACTTAATCACAATAGACTAAATGGTAAATACAGTGGACCCCCGCTTAACGATCACCTCCTAATGTGACCAATTATGTAAGTGTATTTATATAAGTGCATTTGTACGTGTATGTTTGGGGGTCTGAAATGGACTAATCTACTTCACAATATTCCTTATGGGAACAAATTCGGTCAGTACTGGCACCTGAACATACTTCTGGAATGAAAAAATATCGTTAATCGGGGGTCCACTGTACTCAGAACTCACATACTCAGTATGTATTCCCATATCATAATTTCAACAATTACTTTTGAACCTTTTATCCATTGTCGACAGGAATATAATTGAATCATTGTTCTCACAAAAAGCATTTTTGAATATATTAATATATCTTTTGTTGGTAAAACTATACAAACGCTCTTATATGGGTGTGAAGCATGGGTGATGAATGTTGCAGCGAGGAGAAGGCTGGAGGCAGTGGAGATGTCATGTCTGAGGGTAATGTGTGGTGTAAATATAATGCAGAGAATTCGTAGTTTGGAAGTTAGGAGGAGGTGCGGGATTACCAAAACTGTTGTCCAGAGGGTTGAGGAAGGGTTGTTGAGGTGGTTCGGACATGTAGAGAGAATGGAGCGAAGCAGAATGACTTCAAGTGTGTATCAGTCTGTAGTGGAAGGAAGGCGGGGTAGGGGTCGGCCTAGGAAAGGTTGGAGGGAGGGGGTAAAGGAGGTTTTGTGTGCGAGGGGCTTGGACTTCCAGCAGGCATGCGTGAGCGTGTTTGATAGGAGTGAATGGAGACAAATAGTTTTTAATACTTGACGTGCTGTTGGAGTGTGAGCAAAGTAACATTTATGAAGGGATTCAGGGAAACCGGCAGGCCGGACTTGAGTCCTGGAGATGGGAAGTACAGTACCTGCACTCTGAAGGAGGGGTGTTAATGTTGCAGTTTAAAAACTGTAGTGTAAAGCACCCTTCTGGCAAGACAGTGATGGAGTGAATGATGGTGAAAGTTTTTCTTTTTTCGGTCCACCTTGCCTTGGTGGGAATCGGCCAGTGTGTTAATAAAAACAAATAAAAAAAAATCTTTATATAAAACAAAATCAGATTCACTTATAATTAATAACCTACTGTACAACTATGATATAATTCTTAGTGTTAAGTAGTCAGTAAGCCAATAATGCTAAGTCGGCCCATAATGCCTAGGCATAGTAGAGGCTCTCTTTGCATTGCAACCCTTTATTGTAAATACATAAACTCAATGTACTATTTGCAAAGACATAAATAAATAAAATAAATAAGATATGGTAGCCAGGCGACTCGTAGGAGTGACAGCAAGAATAACGTTTTCTCTAGTCCAACATCAGAGAAAATGTGTACACTATAATATTACTGGGGGTAACTAGAAAATTATTCCTCTCATATGCCTTCACTCAGAGCATCATTTCTCCTAAAACTGGTGTTCCTCTTTATTTATTCTACTGCATCAACTTGAAGACAACTTGTACACAATGTAAAGTGTTATGGAACAAGATTCACAACCATGGGAGTGAACATGTATCTGTGTTTACATTACATGTGGGTGGGGTGGGATGGGCTTCCCTGGCTGGCTACCATACCTCCCACACTTGACTTCCTACATATAAATACTACTCACCTCTCACCCTACATTAAGACTACAAATAATTACAAGGTAATTAATGAATGTACTGTATACTTATTTTATCGCTCTGGGGTGCTTAAAGTATCGTAGTATATTACATGCGAGTGGGGTGGGCTGGGCTGACCTGGCTGGCTACCATACCTCCCATACCTGACTTCCTACAAATACATACAACTCACCTCTCGCCCTACATTGAGACTACAAAAATTTTAAGGTAGTAATGAGTGTACTGTGTGTATTTTACTTTTTATTGTTTTTAAAGCCTAGTTCTATTGTTAACTTAATATATGTTAGTGTAAACTTGTTATCTGGCACTTATAAGTGGAAAAAATGGCATTCTGCTTTCCAGCAGTAGCCTGGAACCTAACCTGCCGTGTAAGTGGGGCACTACTGTACAGTAGCACCCTGGTTTCCACCAATACGGTATCCATGGTTTGTTATCCATGGTTTACTGTGGCTGGCCCAAAAATACCTCTCAATCTTGCATAACAATGGCACCAAAGTGCAAAGTCAAGAACCGGGCAGTTCTTTAAAGCCTACAAGAAGCCATGAAGTGCTTCCCATCAGTGAAAAAGTTATAATTCTCCACTTGTTGTGCATCATTTATCAATTAAACTTTATAATAAGTACGTATAGGACTTGTATATAGGGTTTGCTACCATCCACGGTTTCGGCATCCATGGCAGGTTCTTGGAACATATGTCCCGGGGATACAGGGGTCTTACTGTATATGGCTCAGCAGAAAATTGTCTGTTACAATGCCAAACATTCCCAACTGTAAAGATTTTTAAAGTCCTATTCTATGACACTGCACTCCTGACATATAATATCACATCAGGAGAGCAGAGGAATTTTCTGCTATGCTGGTATTAGATATTTTAATAAATTTACAAGGAAGTAAAATTGCTGGCTCTTTCATAATGAAACATCAAATAAGAATGTAACATACATTTAAATAATAAATGGAGTACCATCTAAACTGCCATATCTAGGTGCCTCTGCAGAGACACTGATTATGTGTGAATGAATGATCACCCTGCCTTGGTGGGAGACGACCAACGTGTTGAAGAAAAAATGTATATACAGTGGACCCCCGCATAACGATCACCTCCGAATGCGACCAATTATGTAAGTGTATTTATGTAAGTGCGTTTGTACGTGTATGTTTGGGGGTCTGAAATGGACTAATCTACTTCACAATATTCCTTATGGGAACAAATTCGGTCAGTACTGGCACCTGAACATACTTCTGGAGTGAAAAATATCGTTAACCAGGGGTCCACTGTATAAAAATATCATGCAGAGAAATCGTAGCATGGAAATTAGGTGTGGGGGTACTAAAAGTATTATTCAGAGGGCTGAAGAGGGGCTGTTGAGGTAGTTTGCTTATTTGAGAGAGAATGGAGCAAAACAGGATAACCTGGAGGGTGTATAAATCTGTAGTGGAGGGGAGGAGGGGTAAGGGTTGTCCTAGGAAAGGGTGAAGGGAGGGGGGATGGTTATTGGTCCAAGTTGGACCAAAACTTCATTCTCCTATGTGCGGGTTGTGTATATATTTGCGTAGCCTCGATAGTAAATTGGTGGACAGCAACTACCCAGGGAGGTACTACTGTCCTACCAAGTGACTGTACAATGGAAACCTGTAATTGTTTTACATGATGGTAGGATTCCTTGTGTCTTTTTTATGTCTCATAAACATGCAAGACATCAGATACGTCTTGCTACTTCTACTTACGCTTAGGTCACACTACACGTGCATCTACAAGCATATATATACACACCCAACTGGGTTTTCTTCTATTTCCTTACTAGTTCTTTTTCTCATTTATTTCCTCTTATCTCCATGGGGAACTGGAACAGCATTCCTCCTTCATAACCCATGCATGTCGTAAGAAGCAATAAGTAAAGTTGTGATGAATGGTTTGAAAAACCGACATGTTGAAGATTGAGACACTTATGCAGCATATGGGAATCTTTATTCAGGAAACGTTTCGCCACACAGTGGCTTCATCAGTCCAATACAAAGAGGAAGGCGTAAGGAGAGATACATTCTACAAGATTGATGGACTGAACACATCGACTCCAGGTTGAGGGACTGATTACCTCATTCTCCTCCTCTCCTTACGCCTTCCTCTTTGTATTGGTCTGATGAAGCCACTGTGTGGCGAAACGTTTCCTGAATAAAGATTCCCATATGCTGCATAAGTGTCTCAATCTTCAATAAGTAAAGTGCCTGCACTCTGAAGGAGGGATGGAGATATGATGCAGTTTTTAAACTGTAGTATCAGCATGCCTCTGGCTAGACAGTCATGGAGAGAGTGATGATAAAAGTGTTTCTTCTTTTCTGTTTTGCTCTGCCTCGGTGGGAAATAGCTGATGTGAAAAAAAAAAAATACAATTTTCTATTCAGTATTTATTCACCTGTTATGCGAAAAAAAAAAAATACAATTTTCTATTCAGTATTTATTCACCTGTTATGCTTCCTGAACCAATCCTCATTACTGCTACTTTTAATAAGTGGTAAGCTCTTGGTCCAAGGAATTGGATCAGTCCTCACTTTCCTTGGATTAAACCTGATTGATGCTCAATCAGTGGATACGTGGTTTCTACTGTAAAGTATCAGTGATAAAACTACATACAAGCATAAAAAATGCTAAAGGTCATACCTTTTTTCCAAGAAGGTCTTCCCATTTATGAAGTTCTTACCCATGGCTGTGGCTTTCCATGGAAAATAAGCACCTGAGGGGTCACACTGGAAGAGATATGGTCGGTCTGTGTCCCATCCACAGATGAGGAGGCTCACACCGAATGGTCTTACTCCACTGCAACCAACAAAGTGTACTATAATACTCCATGTTATCTAAACATCCATCATTTGACACTCAAAAAAAAAAATAATAAAAATGAATATAAAACTTAAAAGAAGTTTACTTTCAATCGTTTGCTCGAGATATTCTGGATACTGATGTCTTTGCATTGATATTAGAAGATAAATACAAAGAAAATACTGTCTTTATTCGATTAAATATAATCAGTAAAAGTATCATTCATCATTATACAGTGGTACCCTGAGTTTCGAACCCCTGCAACTCAAAGAATTATGGAACTTTATTATTGTAAGTGCTTTTGAACATGTATTTTTGGGGGTCTGAAACGGACTAACCTAATTTACATTATTTCTTATGAGAAAAAATTTGTCCAGTATCAGCACTTGAACAGCCTTCTGGAACAAATTAAGTTCGAAACTTGGGGTACCACTGTACCATATTAAAATTTATGATTTCTTGATCTAGAAGAAAATGCACAAAAATTAATAGGAAAATTATTAAAAAATAAAATTATGAAATACATTCAACAAAAGCACAAGTAGGACACAAACACACACACAAAAAAAGCAAAACACGTGAAGAATTTCAAGTTATGAAGCAGGAGCGTGCAGGTAGGACGGCTCCAGGAAACTCTTGCCTGGAATCACTTCATTTGGCCTTTTACATAAAATGACTTTGAAAAACAAGTTTTGCACGAGTCATTATCCTGATACGAATGTAACAGAAGCGATGGTTCAGAGTCCAAAATACAGAGAAAAGACAAAACCAGTTGATGTGAAAAGATGCTGTTGTAGTGCAAACAGGATAACATTTATGACAGCATTCAGTGGATAGCAGTTAGCTGGACTTGAGTCCTGGAGGTGAGAAATACAATGCCAGCACTCTGAATGAGGAGTGGGGACATAGTAGTTCAGAGGGAGAACTGAACTGTGATGTCAGCAGACTTCTGACGAGACAGTAACTGTATCAGTGATGGTGAAAGTGTGTCTGCTTTTCGAGTCACCTTGCCTTGGTGAGAGATGTCCAGAGTGTTAGGGTGACCTAAAAGAGAACTCCTTCACTATTGTTCACTCAACAGCTGTCTTGTTAGAAGTCCACAGATATCACAGTTCAAATGACTGTGGCCTTAATTCTTCCACCCTTCTTTCAGAGTTCAGGCACAGTACTTCCAACCCTAAGGGCCAGTTCCCTGGAATCCCTTTATATATGTTATTGTACCTGTCTTCACATGCTCAGATCTAACACACTCTCACAAACAAATTCACAAACAAAATTTGTTTATATTCACAAATTTTGTTTGTGAATATAAAGTGCTTAAAAAAATATTTGAATTAATTTTGTTTTAGAGACCACATCCATGTAGTTAATCATTCTAATCCAGACACTACTAACATTCATAAGAAATAATGACTAAAATAAAGATTTGAACATGGAAAAGACAAATCTTTAAAGGTACAGCTGTTTTCAATTTTCAGGTCATACGCTTAATTTGTAAATATAGGTAATGCCAAAAAACTGAAATAATTTACACAACTAGAAGGCTGGATATCAGAAAAAAGAAACTGGATAATCTAAACCCACAAATTTGCACTGATTATTTACTCCCTCGTGATATAAACCGTACCCAGATTGTGTATATTCCTGCATGATAGCTGCTAGACGCTGAACTAGCTGTGTAGTAGGGATAGTCTCCAGGTAAGTGCGGAAATACTGCTGTGCAACTTTCCGAGCCTGACGAACCAGAAGACGATAGTCTGGGCCCATTCCTGAAAATTTAATTCCACATGAGCAAAACAATAGACATTTATCAAAATTCCACATAAGTAAATACATGTAAGCAAACATTACAAACTTAAAAATACAGTACAGCCTCTCCTCACTTAATGACGGAGTTCCGTTCCTAAGACCACATCGGTAAACGAATTCACTGCTAAGTGAGGAGCATAATATAATGGTAGTGTACGGTATATTGTAATGAACAGAATAGAGGAAATCAGCTCTAATATACATTATTTAGGAATGCATACTGGTCAGAGAGTGAGCTGTAAGTCAGAGTCATCGGTAAATGAGCATGTCGCTAAGTGAGGAGAGGCTGTATATTATTAACATCATTAGATAAAGTGAGAAATAGGTCTGGTTATGAATTTTAACAATTCATTAGCCTTTGAAGTGTGAATCAAATTCACATGGAGATGTGGAACTGGTCTGTAGATACTGACAAGCTGTAGGTGATAAATATGAAATGATCAAAGCATCACCTCCTAATTTCCAAACTACGAATTTTCCATTATAATGAACGAGACCAACATTAATGTACTTATAATTCAATTATGTAGATGTAGCACTTATAATTCAATTATGTAACAAAGTGAATGTTACGTACCACTGTAAACCATGCCTATGTGGTCTGTGATCATCTCTACCTTGATGATGGAATGCTCCTCTACTAAGATAGATTTGTGCTTCTTCTCTGTAGCCAATACTACACCATCCTTGGCCTTAATACCTACTGCTGGAGCTCCAGCAGCCACTGCTGCAAGTGCATATTCTATCTGTACCAACTTCCCTGAGGGGCTGAAAGAAGAAAATGTTATTTAGGCATAATAACAAAAATGCTTTTGATACATAGTTTTGCACTAGTGAGAACTGGAACTGCTGTTATATATAATACACTTGTACGTAAGTGTATTTAGGCACAGGTACACATTAGAGATGTATCGGATGTGAAAATTTAGATATCCGTGGATGTGGATGTGTATGAGGATGTCTTACTTATTTTGCGGATGCAGATGTAAGAAATTGTGCAGATGTTCTGTGGATTCGGATGCTGATGCATATGCGGATATCTGTTTACAGTAAAATGTGGATGCAGATGTAAGAAACTGAGTGGATGCTCTGCGGATGCTTATACAGATATCCGATACATCTCTAGTACACGAGTACAATTATCATACATAGTGTAAATTACATAGGATAACCCAAAAATGGTTTGATAAGCTTAGTGACCACATCCTTTTAATGTAAAAACCGAACATCCACATGCCTTCAGAACCATCGTACAAATAAGTACTGGATGCAAAAATCACTTGTAAATTTAGTGAATAAATTTCAATATTCCCTTAAAGTTTATTCAGGTCCATAAATACAGTTACATAAATTATCACATAACAGTATGTTTCGATTACCCAGGATAACCCAAAAAAGGTCAGACAAAGTGACTTATTTCCACTGGGGTCCTTGTAATAACTTATTATTTAAGCAAGAAATGATGATATACTAGAAATAAGGTCAGCTATTTATCTTATTCATTTTTTTGGCGTGTAAGTTTACTTAGGCCCAGGTACACATAAGTACAATTTTTACACATAATGTAAATTACTTAGAATAATGAAAAAAAAAATCAATGTGACTTTTTTCCATCGGGACGAACTTATAAAAAAAATTAAGTCATGGTTAACGACCAATAACTCCAGTGGTCAGTTATCATGTGACTAAGACTCTGCCTGGAGGAAGTCCACCATTCCTCGTGACTAACAAAATACCACCACCGACAAAATATATACATATTTTCATTAATATTTTCTCAATTCCTCTCAAAAACTTGCCAGTCACGAAGCAAGGGTCTTTCTCCCGGCCTTAACATTTACATTAAACCAATAAAACCCCGTAAATTGGGGTTAATGGTTACCTATGAGAAGCTCTACGCTTCAGCAGAGTTGAATTAGAGTATTATTAAAGTACAAGCAGGATATTTACCTGAAAGTAGTAAGGGAGAAGCTGTAGCGTTCAGTGGCCATGTTGTTGTGTGTGATGGTCGCTTATCTTCCTTCACTGTTGTGTGTGATGGTCGCTTATCTTCCTTCACTGTTGTGTGTGATGGTCGCTTATCTTCCTTCACTGTTGTGTGTGATGGTCGCTTATTAAATAAGTAAATAAGTAAGTTTATTCAGGTGTACACAAATACAGTTACATAGATTATCATACATTGCAGTATGTGTGTAGAGAACCTGGGATAACCCAAAAAAAGTCATACGGAGTGACTTATTTCCATTGGGATCCATTTACCTTAATGTTATAATATAAAGAAGCTAATCTTATTATTGTTCTATAAAGGAGATAATATCTTATTATTATACTATAAAGGAGATATACTAGGAATAAGGGAAGATTACATGTGTGTTAGCTAAAAAGAAATAAAAAATCATTCTCCTTCCTGTTGTGAGTGATGGTCGTTTATCTTCCTTCACTACCATGGTCACCACCTCACAATGTCTTCATTTTGTCTTTATAAGTAATCTTATTCAGGTATACACAGATACAGTTACATAGATTATCATACTCAGCCCCATATATGTAGAGAACCTAGGATAACCCAGAAAAGTCAAGGTCACTTATTTCCATTGGGGTTCTTTTTTAATACCTTATTGTTATACTATAAAGGAGATAATACCTTATTATTATACTAGTAAAAAGGTAAAATGAGTTATTTATATTTACATGTACGTTAGCAAAAAGAAATAAAAAAAAAATCATTCTCCTCCCTTTCTGTCGCTACAATCATTAGGCACCTTTCGGCTCTCTTCATGCTGTCCTTATTACAATCTATAACCAAAAGCGTTGTATTTCTGTACGCCGGAATAAATATATAACTATCTAGATAATATAATTCTTTAATTTAGTTATAATTTTGAAGTTAGTATGTGTGTATAAGCAACTGCTATTTTAATGAAGATGATTTGTAGTCAAATTCTACGAGCGATTGAACAAATACTTGTAACTAGAGAAAACGGACAGTTATTTATAAAAAATAATTAAGTTTATACGATTTTTACATTGCATTCACCTGTAGTCATTTTCCAGTCTATAAGCTATGATGAAAACAAACTTTGTTGCTTGTGTATGTTCAATACTTCCCTCTATAGATTAATATTTAAGTATTACAGCGGCCTCCTTCAACCTAGGAGGAGGGACTACTCGATATCTTCAACTATTTTTTTCTGGAAAAAAAAGACCACCTGGAGATCAATATAAGTCTAGTTCACATTCTCCTAAGTGAGATTATTAAACATTTCTACGTAAATATGCCTCAATGTTTGGCTTTCTTTACTTTATCATGGAGTATTATAATAAATGATAACCTTTGTTTAAGAGTTACTGCAATGGATTATCGAAGCAAACACTGTTTGTAGAAGTATATGTTAATGGTAATTATGTAAATTTAATCTGGGATAGCTCAGTAAATCAACACATAACTTATTCCCACTGGATACCTAAAGAGTTTGTCTCTTAAAGCTCTTATATATGTATAAGTTAGCAGTTCATTCGATTCTACAACTTTGTGTAACTCTGAGGTCTGTGTAACATAAATGCATCGTCCTGGAAAATAAAGAAATATTAAAGGAGGGGTCCATTGATGCTGGTGAAGGGCCCTTGAACTACGGAATTTAGGCTGCTCCTCCTTCCTTGGATCAAACTTAAATTACATCATATCTCTCAGGAGCTGTATGGCCTTTTAAAATTTAATGAATAATAATAATAAAAACAATATAAATTAACAGTAACAAAGAAATAATACTTTATTATATTCTAACATATTTGAGAAGTTACCCATCAAATAATATACAGTTTTCTTTAGTGTATAGACGTTTTCTTTATTGATGGTGTTTACGGGTAACTCTTTTATATTTTTGTTTGCCTTGAGGTACGTACGTAATGTACTTGAGAATACGTATTGTATTTAGGTGAAATTTTTAACCTACAGTTAGAAAACTGAAATAGCTAACGGAAGAATTTAGCGACTTCGGAAGGTAGAAGAATTAAGTCAGATATAATAACAATATAAAAAATACTCAAAGGAATTGATAGGGTTGACAGGGACAGGCTATTGGAGATACAGGAAACAGGTACAAGGGGGCACAGCTGAAGTCAGTGAAGCGGAGATACAGGAAACAGGTACAAGGGGGCACAGCTGAAGTCAGTGAAGCAGATGAGTCAGAGGGATGTCGGGAACTATTTCTTTAGTCATACAAAGTTACCCAGGTGTTGCACATGTTTCACATTGAAGGTTATTTCGCAGTGAGACAAGAAGACATCAACTGGAGTCCTCAAACTGCTCATGAGGACAACCGTTGGGAATCGAGGTATACAGTTTCTCTTCCATTGATGCTTTTCAGTAGTAGCAGCAGCTGCTGCTACTACTGTTGATATTACTGTTGCTGATACTGCTGCTGCTATTGTTGCTCCTACTGTTGCTGTTGCTGCTGTTGTTATTGCTATTGTTGATGCTGTTGCTGTTGCTGCTGCTATTGTTGTTGCTGCATTATTGTTGCTGCTACTACTGTTGATATTATAGTTGCTGACACTGCTGCTGTTATTGTTGCTCCTACTGTTGCTGTTGTTATTGCTACTGTTGATGCTATTGCTGTTGTTGCTGCTACTATTGCTGTTGCTGCATTACTGTTGCTGCTACTACTGTTGCTGGTGCTGTTGTTCCTGCTGGTGCTGCTAATGCTTCTGTTGCCTGATATATGTAATATGATTGTGTTTACCTGGAGTTTACCTGGAGAGAGTTCCGGGGGTCAACGCCCCCGCGGCCCGGTCTGTCACCAGGCCTCCTGGTGGATCAGAGCCTGATCAACCAGGCTGTTGCTGCTGGCTGCACGCAAACCAACGTACGAGCCACAGCCCGGCTGATCAGGAACCGACTTTAGGTGCTTGTCCAGTGCCAGCTTGAAGACTGCCAGGGGTCTGTTGGTAATCCCCCTTATGTGTGCTGGGAGGCAGTTGAACAGTCTCGGGCCCCTGACACTTATTGTATGGTCTCTTAACGTGCTAGTGACACCCCTGCTTTTCACTGGGGGGATGTTGCATCGTCTGCCAAGTCTTTTGCTTTCGTAGTGAGTGATTTTCGTGTGCAAGTTTGGTACTAGTCCCTCTAGGATTTTCCAGGTGTATATAATCATGTATCTCTCCCGCCTGCGTTCCAGGGAATACAGGTTTAGGAACCTCAAGCGCTCCCAGTAATTGAGGTGTTTTATCTCCGTTATGCGCGCCGTGAAGGTTCTCTGTACATTTTCTAGGTCAGCAATTTCACCTGCCTTGAAAGGTGTTGTCTGTGTAGAAATATCTACATATATTACTGGTAAATGTCCCTTAATATATGCTGACATCACATTACTTCTGCTTTAAATTTATGCCATTATGAAATTTGAATCTTAAGCGTCTAGCTGAAAATATAACGAAGGTATAGCGAAATTCGAAATTCTTGATATTAATGGTAATACGTGTCTGTATCATGTATAAACATACGTATCCGTGGTCCGGTGGCCTGGTGGCTAGAGCTCCTGCTTCACACACGGAGGGCCCGGGTTCGATTCCCGGCGGGTGGAAACATTTCGACACGTTTCCTTACACCTGTTGTCCTGTTCACCTAGCAGCAAATAGGTACCTGGGTGTTAGTCGACTGGTGTGGGTCGCATCCTGGGTGACAAGATTAAGGACCACAATGGAAATAAGTTAGACAGTCCTCGATGACGCACTGACTTTCTTGGGTTATCCTGGGTGGCTAACCCTCCGGGGTTAAAAATCCGAACGAAATCTTATCGTGTATTTTATTGTCAGAAATGTGACTATTATTTATATTTTTTTTATTTACAGGTGGAAATACCTGAATAATCTTACTTATATTTCTCTGGATTTGGGTAATCGTAAATATTAGTGTACAAGTTAGAGCATCAGGTTTCCACTGGCCTTGTGAGATGTTGAAATTGGTTGCAGAAGTAATTACGGCATATTCAGGGATTTTGACATATAAAGCTTTGCTCCTATTTTCGTGAATGTAAGTTTCGTGAGTAACTTCGTTATTTCTTGACTCACGAAATCGTAATGACACGATTGCAAACAATGCCACTGTTGGGGATAGAACCCGCGGTCAGAGTCATAAAACTCCAGACCGAGTGGCTAACACGTCGGTCTGGAGTTTTATGATTGACCGCGGGTTCTAGCCCCACCCGTGGTATGGTTCGTTATTTCTTGGTGAGTAAACCAGTATCACAGTGACAGCAGTTTAACGTTAAACAGTTACTCAGCTTCGCAATAGCTTTCATCCTTCGTTTAATAACGTAATCATAATTCATTAACCTGCTATCAGCAAGTCTTGATAATCACTTAATTTGAAAAAGGGGAGAATTTCGCCATAATGAATGGTTGGCTAATGGGGTTTAAAGCCTATCAACTACACGAGGGTCGTTCAGGCTACTTCGTAACCTCTTCACCACTAGACAAGAAGACTTGAATACCTAAAATAAGGACTGAAGTAAACTGTCAGCATATATATGTTGAGAGAAATACACCTTTCTGTGTATATATTCTGTGCACAATGAACTGAAAGGTAGGTAGGTATTAGGTTCGTCAGGAAACAGGATAAGTGTTTCCTGACGCGGGTCTTAGTCACGATGACCCACAGCTAGAGCTTTTGGTCATCTGACCGAGAACTTCCGGTGGCTTACTGGTCCACCTCTTTCAAAATCATGATTATAATTATATCCACTGAAAGTGTTAAATGAATGGAAATACAGTGAGCTCTCTTATATAGCACCCACTATAGTGGTTTCTCGTATAAGCTACTGAACAAATCCAACCAAAGTTGAATAACGAATGGAAATGCCTTCATAGTATCTACTGTTTAATATTCGATGTTTCTTACCAATCGCATGTATGGAAAAGTTCGATTAATAGAAGAACTTTCTAAAAGGGTTGACCACTTGAAACTATCTGCTGCTACTGATGACCGGACATGAGACGTGGAGATATATTTGTGGAGATACTGAAGGAATTAATATTTCCTTGATTTTCTTATATGCTAATGTGATATGAGGTTTTAAAAATATGTATTAACATGTGGAATAAACAGTTAGGG